TAATTTGGGAGCGATGCTGCAGAGCCTTGGCGGAACATCGGGAGTTCCATTGCCACCATTGCAGATGCTACCTGCACAAGGCCATGTACTAATAGAGGCACCACATTTGCCAACTGCAAATCTGGGACTGGGGAAACATGAAACACAGGAGAAATCGGATAATGCAATAACCACTGGCTTTTGTAGTTCTGTTGCTTCTGTGCCCTGCACCTTGCTGTTGTTATTTGTTTCTGTCCTGTTTGCACGATTGTGCCCCCAACTGTGGTTCGATTGCTTTGCAGTTGGCTGCGCGATCGCCATCCCTATCGGAACTAGGCGAAAGGTTGGCATACTGGTCGACATTATTCTTGCTGTGGATTTATTGACTTGCAACACATGTGATGACCACATTGGCATCAGACTTGTTGGTGTCCCACTTGAATGCAACGCCCAGTGATGACAGCAACATACGTTTTTACTTCGCTGGCTGCGATGGTTCAAGGAACGGACTATGAGAGTTACAAACTGCAGTTTGTAGCCTAAAATTCTTCCAGTGTGTCTGTTGAACAAGCAACCCAGGCTTGAGGGTTCAGTAGGTTTGTTGCCGGCTTTCAGCAGGGGTTGTCAACAACAGTTGGGTGCTTGGATATGAAGGCTTTGTCTTTTCAAAAGCATGGGTGGTGGTTTCTGCCACCACTGTCCAGCTGGTGGTAGTCACTTGCGTTGTTGATACACTGTACATGTTATCTCACAGTTTCAAACTGTCAGAATATGGCAGGTCACCACCACTTCTTATCTCGCAACGTTGGGCATGCTACCATTCGCATTCTGTTTCCACATGTGTTGTCTCGCTATCCATTGAGCAGCCTATGTACTGCTTGTGCGCCCATCGGTGCTGCCACAGATGCAATTTTGGGCAGCTGTGCTGTTGTGAAGTGCAGATCGTTGAGAAATGGCTGGATTCGCCACACACAATGTTGAGATACATCATATCAGGTTTGAATGGGTTGTGCAGCCTTTAAACGTGCAGGGGTTATGACAAAATATGGTGCTGGTCAGCACGTGACACATTCTCATCCGCAGCCTGCAGTGTCCTCATTAAGGCCAAATGGTCAGCGAGACCGATGAAATTGCTTGGCTCTGCATCGGCCTCAGCGGGCCACCTGCTGTACACTGAGCCCGTTCTTGCTGTCCCTGCCGCACAGAGCTACCTCCCCCTCTTCTATTTTGGCGTAGGAGGCACATTGGCAGACCTGTTGAATGGTGAGCTCCCACATCCTCTTGTGCAGACTGGGCTACAGCATTCGCCTATGTCTTTGACATGCTTTTGGCATGGCTCATGGCGATGACGATCCATCCATCGTTCCACAACTGACTGGCACTCTGCTGTGGGGACAGAATTATTTAAAACAGATGATTTTGAGGGAAAATCTGAGTCATGAGCTGAATGGTGAAAAAATTGTGGTGATAGCTTTAGCAACTGATTGTGATTTCTGGCTATTTTTTTGGAAACTTTGATCAGGCAACCTTGCTGTCGAATTTCTAGATTCCCTTGCCACATCGTTGTGTTGCAAGGCAGAACAGCTTGCAGTTGGCCATATGTGGCTTTGCACACGAAAATGACTGATTGCCCCCCATTATCCTTTTCTGAAGACTGACTGAAGTTATGACGCCTCATATCTTGCATTGGAAACCAGGCCCTGTCATAGACATTAATGAGAGTTCCTGCACATAAAAGGTTTGCTTCTTCCCCAGTTACTGAAACCTTGTGTCCTGGACCGATGGAGTGTGGTGTAGGCTACTGGTTGTTGTGTTGACTTGTCTGGAATGCACAGAGGCGCCAGTGGTGCTGCTGGGCAGGCATTCAACTCTTGAACAATTCAAGTTGGCCGGTCCAGGATTGGCACTCAATGTGTTGAGTGCTGTACACAAAGCAAAGGGTAATTGTGCCACTGATCATGTTGACGAAGTACCCAACAGGCTGCAGATGTGCCTGGAAGAGTACTCCTGGAGTCTCCTGGTGAGAATGGTCACTGATTGTAGGGATGCCCGTGGCTGTGCTCAGGTTATATTCACTGCATGAAAGAACGTCAGGACTTGGCTGATTGGCAGAAAAGGAACCAGGGCTAGTGAATTGATGGTGGGGCAGGAGTCAGGAAACCCCTCTGCAATGCTGGTGACGCATCTGTATGGCGATGCCAGCGGCAGCTTCTTGCACATCCGATGTGCATCCAACTGTGAGTTCAATTGTTGCGGAACCAGGCGCTGTGGCATGGTCTTGCTGTTTAGAGAAACGGGGCTACCTGTGGCAACGAGGAGGTTTCTTGGCAACCTGAGGAACAGCCCTCCAAGGAGGCCTGATCAAAGCATAGACTGGATTGAAGCAGGTGTAGGGCTCAGGTCCCTTGAACCATCACCTTAGGGTTTGTGGCTGTGGGTCCAGGAAACAAGCCCTACATTGCGCGAAAAGTGTTCACGCTGGTGAAGGTTTTCTTGGCCCATCCTTACTTGAGGCACATTCACAGCTTCTAAGAATGGTCGGCCTTGCTCAGATTAGCACACAAACTCAGGCAGCCTGGTTGCCTGCGCAGCAGCACTATCCCATGTGTGTTGCGGGGCACTGTGCACAAGCTGGTGCTGTTTGTCAAACGGCCGCACCAGAACATCCCGTTACTTTCGATGACTTGCCAGACCAGAATGCAAGTGACTCGTGCGCTTGTGGGTGCTGGGCACCGGCTGTTGAAGTCAGAGTTTTGGTAGTTGGGGTCAGAGGCGGTTGCATTGGCCACACTCACTAGCCGAAGGTGGTCCAATTCATGTGGCTGCGATTGCACAACTTGGTCCCATGTCGACCCGTTGCAAGTCAGTGATTTAAGGTTTCTGCCATTTACGATGATTCACGATCACAGTGAGCAATGTGCGAAACCGTCTGCGATGTGGAGAAAGCCAGCATCCCTGAGGTCGCTGAAGTAGTTGAACTATTGCTCGAGGAAAGTCCATATCCAGGAATGTGATGCCGTACACATGGCCCCCAAGTCTGGGTGGTTTGGGGTGAGCACTGGCTCTGGATGCTGCAGACGCCCTGCCCTAGTACTGGCCAAGACAGATTCTCTGGCACCTACATTCAAACTACGCCCTTGTGAGTGCGCACGCAGGCCAGAAGCCGAGCTAGAGGTGGTGCTCGGGCCAATGGAATCTGTGGTGTTGAATCCCAGGATAAGAGGGAGACGCACGTTCCATGTATATATTTTTGCCTCAAATGTGTTTCGATATGAACAGATACGGCCACATGCGGCCGTCTATTGCCATTTAGATACGGCTGTGTGGCGTTGTGTTCCGTTTCCAATTTTGTCTTTCTGCGTAGGGCTTGCGAAGCAAGGTGGAGTGCGCAACCTGGCCGTGTGTCCAATGCACGTTGGGACAGGCATGTAGCAGCTCGGCTGTGGCTGTTCCGCGGCACGAGCGAATATTCTGGAATTGGTTACTGGAGGCCAGTGGGTGTCTGGAGGGAACGACGCCAGCACTGATGGAAGTTCTTATTGTACCGTCAAGCACAGGCCACCTGTTGTAAATTTTCAGGTGACCAACATGCTCTACGAACTGTTGTTGGATTTGGTGAGGTTGATGGTAGATCACAATACGCGGAGAAGCCACACCAGTGCCTGACCACGTGGCTGAGCAAGGGCGGAAGGCTGCATTGTTGAAGCTGTGTTCCTCAAATGCGACACCCATTCTGGGAGACTTGTCTCTACGCTGCAGTGTTGGCGAGTTGGAGCGCGTAGGCCGTTCCGTTGTCTCTCCATTATTTGAGTCCTTTCTTGGCCGAAGACAACAATGTCGCAATTGCCACCACCTCTGAATCGAATAAGAGCGAGCCAACTTGCAGTCGGTCTCCATTCATGTGCCTTCGATTGCGTCACACAATGGTGATGTTCCTACCACCAACTCTGCATTGCACACTATCCTCACGAAACCAGCCCTGGCTCCTTTAGGACTGGCCCCCACCGCTTCAAAGACAGCACACCGCCAGTGGTGGTTTTCAGCAAACCCCAACTCACGGCGCGGGCGAAACCAAAATGCAGTGAAGTGCATTGCCCTCCAACCCAACGAACCCCAGACACTCTAACACTCAGCACAAAAACATCAAGATTAAATAATAAATCATATTAAACATGAATAAAATTAGAAAATTAAAATAATGAATTCGCCGAGAAATGTTCCGCACAGGTGCCAGAAACTGTGCCCCCAGCAAGATCGCCCAGCCACCCCCGCCCCTTCGGCCATGTCGGGGCGCTCCTTGGCCCACCGCCCGGCCTCCCCGCTCGCCTCCGCGGCGCGGCGGTTGCCCAGATTCGCGCATGCGCGCGTGACCCGCGTCACCTGCGCCTCCTCCAAGCCCCAGAAGGTCGTCCTTGCCTATTCCGGTGGCCTAGACACGTCCGTGATTCTGAAATGGCTGGAGGTGGCGTACGGATGCGAGGTGGTCACGTTCACGGCCGACCTCGGCCAGGGAGAAGAGCTGGAGCCGGCCAGGAGCAAGGCAGCAGCGATGGGCGTGCGGGAGATATTCATCGAGGACCTTAGGGAGGAGTTCGTGAGGGATTATGTGTTCCCCATGTTCAGGGCCAACGCGCTGTACGAGGGCGTGTACCTCCTGGGCACGTCGATCGCGCGGCCACTGATCGCAAAGCGCCAGGTGGAGATCGCACGAGATGTGGGCGCGGACGCGGTGTGCCACGGGGCCACGGGCAAGGGCAACGACCAGGTGGGGAGCGGCGCCGCCAGACCGGTTACTGCGGGGCGGCGCTGGGGCTCCAGGCTGTGTTGTGGGTGTCGATGCTGACACTGGGCCGGGTGCATGTGATGTCGGTGCTCAAGAGTGGGGATGTGTCCGTGCTGTGGTGGTGAATCTCCAACCGCGTCGTCGGCATCAAAGTTTGATTGATTGATCAGTACATCAGGAAAAAAGGGAGAGTGAGAATTCAGCAGCTAGAAGAAAAGAGGGCAAACATGCGGGCTGCTGCTCAGGGAAAGCTTGGGAAGCTCTCAGTAGCACTGTCTGCTCACATGCAAGCACGCGTTGATGCTTACTGTGGTTGCTTTGTTACAAAGTCTCTTGACATAGCCCCCAGTCTTGTTCCCAGTCCTGAATGTGGTCCAGCCTACCTTTTCTGTCTCTTGGTTGTCCTGAAACGCTGTTCCAGATTGAATTCTTTGATATTGGCAGTGCAGCAGGCAAATCTGCAATGTTTGCATTGATCATTCAACCAACCTTTGCATCAGAAATCACTGTAACAATCAGCTGCTGCACAGTCAGAATTATACTGTCATGTTTCATGCCAGTTGTTTCTACCAACTCAACAGTGAATGCCAATTCCAGATTGACACTGTGGAGCTCATGTTTGCGATCATGTCTGGTGGCCCTCTGATGCACTGCTCTCAGCCATGCTAGGTCCGCTTCGAGGTTGCCTATTATGCCCTGCAATCCAACATTAAGGTGATTGCTCCATGGCGAGAGTGGGACCTCACAAGCCGAAGCAAGCTCATCGAATTTGCTGAGGCCAATAACATACCAGTGCCAGAGAGCAAGCGAGGAGAGCCGCCCTACTCTATGGATGCCAACCTGCTGCACATATCTTATGAAGGTGGGATATTGTTGCTGTAGCGCCTCTCGACTTGTCAATGGGTGGCGTACATTGCCAGCCTTCAGCAACTTCTCTGTTTCTTCCTGTGCGATGCAACTTTACAAGCCCAGTTGGGGAAGTTCCCCACACTTGTGACAGGTGCTGTGCACATAGATGTGTAGTGTCTGTGTACTTGTCTTTGAATGCATTCATCTTGTACAATTGCCACTTTCTTGAAAGGTGTGTCCTGTCTATCTGGCAAAGAGGAAGGTTGAGAAATCTTGGATGGAGACGCAAACACCAAATCATGATGTGCACCACTCACGCAGTACTGACACAAGTTTGCCACACGCATTATTGTAGATGCATTGTCATTGGGGACATCTGCGCTGGTTTCATTTCCGCTGTCAGCACGAGACAAGTACTCTGACACCTTGGAAGCAACCCTGGCATGTCTGCACTAGAAGTACAACTCCCACTGCCAGTGAGAATGATGGAATTTGACAGCAATATAGGGAGTGTTTAGGAATGTAAACAATGCGAGAAATCTCACAACACGGTGGGCCCGGGAGAGTGTTGAATAATTGCTTGATGTGCTTCCTTGCAGCCAAAAATTTACTCGGATGTTCACCGCATGTACTGTTTGTCCCCTCATCGAAGGGTATATTGGTGCACTGCTTTGTCCATGGGCAAGTGCAAAATTAATGCAATAGAAACCCAGAATTGTGCTTGCTATGCTGCAGGGAATGCCCTGGAAGACCCTTGGGTGGAGCCCTCAGAGGAGATGTTCCAAAGGACAGTGTCGCCAGAGTCTGCGCCTGATAAGCCCACCTACATGGAGATCGAATTTCGCAAAGGTGACCCAGTGGCCATCGATGGCAACAAGTTGTCGCCAGCTGCTATTCTGGAGGCTTTGAACACTGCAGCTGGTGAAAACGGCATTGGACGAGTGGACATCGTGGAGAGCCGGTTTGTGGGTATGAAGTCACGGGGCGTGTATGAGACTCCTGGGGGGACCATCCTGCTGACAGCCAGGAGGGCTATGGAGAGCATCACGCTGGACCGTGGGGAAATGCACCTCAAGGTGAGAAGCTGCCAGGCGGCGTATCTCCACTGACAAGAAGTCGAGATTCAATAATCAGAAGCAGTCTTGGATAGCATCAAGGTGTCGTTGACGAATCATGGCAGTCATTGCCAATCAACCATGATTGCATGGTCTTGGAATCGTCAATTCATGAACGATCAAAGTCTCATCAATGGATCACCATTTCTAGTGTGTTCAGTTCCCGTCAGTACACAAACATCACAATGTACAAGATGAAATTCTGTCCAATAATCATTGGCATTGTAGACCATCATATCATCATATTATCATATTGTGTTGAGAGCACTCAGGCCAAATTTGCGAATGCAGGATGAGCTCATGCCCAAGTATGCAGAGCTGTTGTACAACGGCTTCTGGTTCTCCCCAGAGAGGGAGGCGCTGCAGGCGGCCATCGATGCGACCCAGGAGTATGTGAGTGGCTTGGTGCGCCTTAAGCTGTACAAAGGGAGTGTGACAGTGGTCGGACGTAAGAGCCCGCACAGCTTGTACGACCAGAAGTTGTCATCCTTCGAGGATGATGAGGGGCTGTACAACCAGGAGGATGCAGGTGGCTTCATAAAGCTGCAGGCGCTTAGGCTGCGCACCCTTGCAACCAACCGGCTGGATGGCACACACTGACGCGAATCTTCTCACACTTTGAACCCTATTGACCACTTGCATAGACACATGCACACACATATATTGGCTGTCTTGCTAGCTTTTGTTTGTTTGGGTTTCCTCAGTCAGTCAAGAAAGAGTGCATATTGAGGCAAGGACAGTGCCTGCCACTTGTCTTTTTGGGTGTAATGGTGCCTTGACTACTGTGAGGCAATGTTGAGCGTTGGGTTTTCTCGCGCTGGTCGTTGGGATGCATTGGCGATTGTCTGCTCAATGGGAAGGGCGCCAGGTGATGAGGAGGGAGCTCCAGTCAGAGGAGTTGAAGCTCTGTTGACTTGCAATGGCATCCGGCGGCAATCCAGAGCATGTGGCACCAGTCAGTTGAAGATCAGCTTGTGGCAGGTTTCTTGAGCATTGGACAACATCCGTAGCTGTGTGAAAGATTTCCGCAAATGGTGTTTGTGAGAAGCCACTGGGTTGGGCCGTGTTGAGCGCTTCTCAGCCCATGGCACGACCTGCCTGCAAGGCCTGCTTGTGCAATTTGTGTTGGCAGGTTGGCTGCGTTTGGACAATTGAAATGAATTTAATGTACAGCTGCGCACATGGCGACAGGGGGCGGTCACGCCTCGTAGACAGATACAGTCAGACAGCATCAGATTCCGGCGATCAGCACAGCCTTCACGAGAAAGATGTTCACCACGCAGGCACAACATCCCGGAGCCCACGTCACGACGTTGAAAAGCATACGGTGGAAAGTACCACCGGCATGAAGTAGAAATGGACCCCATTTAGCATTCTAGCTGGGTAATCTCCAAAATTTCCACCAAATTGGCTTAACTCGCCACCTGGGAGCAAGTTGTGCATTGTGACGACGTCGCACTGCCCAACATTGCGTTGAATTGGAAAGTTTCGCATGACCCAAACAGCGATGCAGGCAAATACTCAGTAATTTCCTGCGTCATTTTAGCTTTGCCGCATTGGGACTGACCGCAACATCCAGCCGACTACCAGATATGCAAATAATTGGCGTGCCACAGTGTCGGTGTCATGCTGCAAACTCGGAAAGTTAGCAAAAACACTTGAAACCTGCAGTCTGCCTGAGATACTAGTAGCACGTCGCCGAGAGAGGATGACTGTCGGGCGCTTCCAGGGGCGCACCCAGCCCGCTGGAAGTTATTTCTTCTGGTGGAACTCGGAACGACAGTCTCGTCTTCCGGTTGCTGAGGGGGGACCCATGGCGAAGCAACTGAATTGGGCATTGAACCCATGGATGCATTGTCCCAGGCCGTGCTTCTACTCAGCACCACTAAATGTAGTTGAAGAAGTTTAGGTGATTGAGGTGAGCACACATAAAAGGAGAGGAACATGGGTGTGCACAGTCCTTGACCGCACACAAGGACGGCATCCACCTCCCCACGACCCCCTCTGAACCCCTCCACTGCTTTGATTGGCTTGGCGGCGCACTGCGCCACACCCGCGGCACGGGACGGCACGGTATTGAGCCGCCCGGGGCAGGCGTTATTTCGCGTCAGTGGGAGCTACACTAGAAGCACTCCACAAAGCGTCTACCAGTCTGCCGCCAGGTTGCTGCAAAGGTACTGCAGCATTTCGCCCTCCAAAGGTGGGGCGCCTCTGCCGACGGCGAAAGCGAGCGTGGGACTGTTGGCTGCGCAGTGTGTTGCAAAGCGTGGGAGGCGCATCTCGCTCTGACGGGGGGATTAGAACAATGACCCGTGGTTCATTTGTTCAGGAAATGTTGCTTTTCAAGCCAAGAAGGCAGCTATCAGATTGGCGTTTTCCCGGGAAATGCCGTCTCCATTATTATTTCATTGCAGTTCAAGGTGTTGTATAGACGAATGCATAATCCACCAATTGCTAAATTGGCAGGAGCCACCATCTATGGTAGCGCATGGAAAGATCCATTTTTTCTGCCATTTGGCCGTAGAAGAAAAGATGCCAGCAAAGATACCAGCAAAGGGCGTTCTTGCATGGCTGTGTTGGAGAGATACGATTGACTTGGACGTACACCATCGTAGGCACTGCAGTGAAAGAGCAAATGCATTCAATTGAGGACCTGACATACACAGTGAGCACAATCGGCATGAGAATTGCGAGACAAATTGATGTCGTTGTCGTCCTTGCTGCTCGATCTTCAGAAAATGGGCCCCACAATGAATTTGTAGCAAAAATGTTGAAGTGATTGATCGCAATAAAGGCGGAAATCTTCCACACTGTTAAATAAGTTAGATCAGGATTCGTTTTTACGCCGTAAAAACTGATAATATTCACGTTTTTACACGTAGAAATAGTTTTTACGATTTTACGCCGTAAAAATGCATAAGAACACGTAAATACAACGTAAAAGCTGCCCTGTGTACATAAGGACAGTACATACAGACTCACGGAGTCCGGAGAGTGGCAGCCAGACGCCCTGGAAGGGGCAGAAAACGATTTTTTGTTAAGCACCGTCATCGCCCTTGCCAAGGGCGAGGTGGACATTGTGCTGCGGGTGCTGGAGACGGCGGAGTACTGATCATTGTACGCGACTTTCATTGTGTAACCTGGGTGCCCCAGGGAGCAGTGAAAACGTAAACTCAGTAAAAATAGCCGTAAAAATAGGCCTTTTTGCAGATTTACTTTTTTACGCATAAAAACATGAAAGCAAAACGTAAACGTAAACGTAAAAACCAAACCTGGGTTAGATGAGCCTGTGCCATCGCCGATGAATGGCTTGTGAAAATGTTCTCAACGCAAATTGTTTGACATGATGTGTAAACATGCTCGCATGTAGGAGGTTTGGTTATCCCTTTATGGCACCATTGCTTTACGTTTCTTTGTCAGAAAACGATTGCACGGAGAATCGCCGATTATTACAGTAACGTCTACACATGTTTACGGCGTGTAGACATAGCCAGGTCAAATGCCGCAGTCGCAAACAGTGATCAGTCCGCCGGCCTCTCTATCACCTTCAGCCCAGCATCCACCTTGCCCTCCGCAACGGCGACGCCGTCGTCGAACAAACGGCCCTCCTCTGTATACTCCCCGGATTCCCTGTGTATTGGCAGCATGTGCCAAGGCCCGTATTTGCGCAATGCTACATGCTTTAGTGTGCAAAATTGTGAAAGCTACTTGTTGCCTGGCGAAAACAAGGCGAAAATTCCCTGTATTCAAGCCATTACCACCACACCTGACATGTGGAGTACATCCGCTAAAAAACTATTCCCTCTGAACTGAGACCAATCAACGGAAATCTCTTGCGCTTCACAGCAATGATGCGTCCATACTACGACCGACAATGAGCTAAAAATAGTCAGAAGTTGAGAGTTGGGAAGTTGTACAAGACGATTTCAACATTTCACCAGTTGTCTCCACAAGTGGAATTCCACGAAAGTTTCTTTGCCAATTTTGAAGACATTTCGTTCAAAGCACCGTCCCCATCACCATTTCCTTTGCGTCTCCATTGACAGGTCTCTTTCCAACTATGTTTCAATTGTTGAGGTCGAACCGTCTGAAGGTACCCCACTCTTGACGACTTGTACGGCCGAAACAGACCATTATTCTGAGAATGTCCAGTAACATATTCACCAGGTGACCCCGAGTCGGATACACCAAAACTCGAGTTTCCCGTGGCTGTAAGCCGCAGAAATGCGTCAAGAGTGTGAAATGCCACACGGGTGTCCAGAAAACTCAGCCGCAGACTTTGTGATGGCCATTCTGATTTCAATGTAATTGCATTGATGGCCAACTTGCAAAATGGCCAACTTGCCCATCAGCGTGCCTCCCCTGCCTTACGCAATACATTGCTTTGGGCGCCCAACGCAATCTGTCGGTCAGACTTGATAAGGTCGAAGAAACTAATTGCCTTAGTCACATGAGAGCACGGCGCGAGGTTGCACAGCCTGCCCGCTCCTCCTCGTGTGGCAGGAGGGCAAACGAATCACACAGTCGCGAGGGTGAGCAAAATTTATTGTGCGGTCTTGCACATAGTTGCTTACCCTGTGCCAGGTGGAGCTTGCGATTCTGTTGCGATCGCAAACCGATCACGATACACATGATGGCCAGAACGTCTTGATGCTATCTACCATCATCAGCATTGGGGCTGTGAGTCCTATAGCGGGGAGCCAGCGGAGGGTCGCCCCTGCATGAGCGTGCTGTGGGGGCTGTGGGGCTCGTCGGGGCAAACGAGCTGCTGTCGCTTACGAATTCCCCGATTCCGACACAGTTTTGGCCCGCGACACATCTCGCCCAGAGATGCCCGGTGCATTGTTGAAAAGGCAAACTTGATTCAGACATTCCCCGGCTCGTCTCAGGCCGCCAAAGCTGGCCCCATTCCCGCGTGAACGACGGCCAATGACACACGGCCAGGAAGGCTGCCTTCCTCGCTGCAAAGAATTTGGGGTAGGAATTGAGCTCAAGATTCATGCAGTTGAACCCTAGAGATACGTCTTCAAAGCATGATGCGGAATTTGGGATCCGCCACAGAGGCGATGGATGCAGCGCCTGAAGTGTGACCATTGAGTCCGGCATCCCCTTCCCAGGGCAGCATCGACGCTTGACGGACAGAAGATGCGCCCATTCAAAGAAAGTCCCGAATTCAAGTGGGCGCATGCCTCTAACACAAAAATAGCTCAAGAATGACATCGCAACACGTACAGGCTGCTACAAAAGAAGCCAGATCCCGGGTCTTTACCCCAGTCCCAAGAACGAATTTGCCACGTGCGCAGAACTCAGAGCGCCCACCCCATTTGATCCAAAATAAACTACTGGCAAAAAGCATTCAATTACTCAACATCAAACGGTGGTGCAACGACGCCATCGCATCACAAAACACTCGTTCAGTGATTCAACCCGCGCGATCCCAAAGTATTGAAGTTGATGAGCAAAAACGACTTTGCAGCGTTTCGCTCAACAATTTCTGCGCTCGCATTGACAGACAATCCCGTCCAAGAGACCAGATTGTCACAATAAGCAGCTGAAAACACGAGAATGGCACTGCGCACAGGTGCGCCACGCACTTCAAG